AATTTTGTGTAAATGATTATTTATAAATAAACAATTTTGTGAAAATGATTATTTACAAATAAGCAATTTTGTGTAAATGATTATTTACAAATAAGCAATTTTGTGTAAATGATTATTTATAAATAAACAATTTTGTGAAAATGATTATTTGTAAATAAGTAATTTTGTAAAATTGATTATTTATAAATAAACAATTTTGTGAACATGATTATATACAAATAAGCAATTTTGTGAAAATGATTATATACATATAATCAATTTTGTGAAAATGATTATTTACAAACAATCAATTCACATTAGAATACTTATTTGTAAATAATCTTTTATACCATGAGATTCTTTACAAACCATGAAAAAAACAACATGAAAATTTCACAAATAATTTTTTTACATCCGGCGCCTCATATTCGCTCGCTCACTATAACTTGTTGTCCCTCCAAACGTCCCTCCAAACATCAACTAGACCCAGTCCTCTGCTCGACTGGGAAATGGCTAATTCGAAGTTATGAATTGTGTGACTGCATGCTTAATAATTGTTATGTGGCGACTGTGAGAGAGTCGACCTTTGAAGTTGCGCCCTTCTTTCAATGAACTAAATCACAATTTATCTATTCCTCTTAAACTTGATATAATTAGGGAAGGATGTCTAAACTGTGAAGAAGAGAAAATTATTCTTCCTTCGGTTGAGAACGACGGTTTGTAAGGTGGAAAATTCGGAGAGGACTTATTATATAGTCAACGGAGACGTTGCATTAAACTCTGCAGTCGCACATGCCAACACATGGCCAGAAATCACGGGCATGGTTATTCTAAATTCCTTCCTTACTAATTTGCATGTCGTCGATGCATAACCCGTCGTTTGCAATTTGCCTCAATTGCAGGTAGTGCAGAACCTGTCGTAAAAACTATCCTCTGTACAAATATTGAAAATGCAGTAACTGAAATCAAAGTAACATTACACTGTTTATAGTAGAATAACATATAATGTAATAAAGTAAAATCATAAGATTTATCCAAATTGAAACAGTTGGTTCTGTTTGTACAGGCCTTTAGGCTTCACATTCATTCTCGTTTCTAGTTTCTACTCAGGTAACGCGTTTGGGTCTTTCTCCTTGCGAATTGAACTCACAGTTACCATGAAATGCCATCTCTGTCAAACAGACAAGTTGTCTGAAGAGTTCCCACATGAGCATCTCACGGAAGAGTGTACTGAACACCCATTACTGCATTGTCTTAGAGTAAGTATATACGAATATTCTACATCCTATAGGCCACACACATCGTGTTTATATTACAGACTTCAGTACTGCATGAAGAACCGTTTGACTATGAGATCTCGCATTGTAGAAAATTAAAGTAGAAGATGAGATTGTATTATTCGTGCAAATGATGGAGATTTCTTTAAATATATGTGCATGATAGGTAAATTCAGGTCAGATAGCTGCGGTGTGAAGGATATACAATGACCTGAAAAATATAAACAGAATTTGGACGTTTTGAGCAGAGGCCCTTCGGCTTCGTCTTCAGTTCACACCGTAGCTATATCGGTTATCGTATCTACCGACCGATATAGAGAAGGTCCAACCTCACATATATATAAGCAGCATATACTGAGTATCGTGTTGCACATGCGGCAGATGGTGACCAACCAATTTTTTCGTCATAATTACACATTATGAAACCCACCAATTTAAGAAAAGCACTAATTAACTCGACTGTATTTAATTTCCTCATTCATTATTGATGTTGTGATTTGTTTTTCTTGGAGTGTGTAACAGCGTCAGTGAGAGATTACCGTAAGTGTTCCCAATGTGATGTCCAAGTTACAGAAGACAACAAGCAGTATAAGCAATATGTCCAGACTTTGGAGTTCCTTTTCCCCACAGTTGCTGTTGGTGAAGTAAATACAACCGGTCAATGCCTTAGTCCAACTGACGAGTCGACATCACATATTGTTATAACCACTCTTTCTGGAGAATGTATTTCTATTGTTTATAACCTTGATCAAACCATTATCGACGTGAAAGATATTGTTGAGAAAAAATTAAAGACGCCTTGTAAAAAGCAATGCCTGTTGTACAACGACACTGAGTTGGAGGTATCAATATCTTTGAAGTTAGCCTTGCGTTTTATTTTAATTAATCCAAACCGTCCTATATTTGTTGGTACTGTATATGGCCCATGTTATACTCTGACAGCTCTATCTTTAAATAACATACTCCTTATAATGAAGGAATGGGGATGAAAATTATCGGGCAGAGAAGCATGCGAGCCATCAGTCACAATTTCCCTGCGACGACTGTTTAAGCAACCTGGCTCTATATCAGAAATCGCTTGTAGGTTACATTTGTTTTTACCGAAATCAGCATATACATTTTTTCAGGAACGAGATCAGGATGACGAAGTTCTCAAGTTGAAAGACTACCATGTTCAGCCCAACAGCAATATATACCTACTTGTCTTATTGTATGAAGTACCAGATGATTATGATGATGTCATTTTTGATCTCTTCTGGGGATACCCACAAAGCGGAAAAGACTTCCTAGACGCTTCTGTATTACTTTACAGTGGCTCGGAATTTGTTGAAGTAGTTGACTTTAGGTGCACATTAAGTCAATCGGGTGCGGCAATCAGCCACACACAATTGAGGCCGGCAGTCGTACATTCTGGGGATGTAATGGATGAGGACAATCAATTGGGTCATCACACCATAAAAGTGTCAATCAAATCAATCCCAGATAATATTAGCACGCTTGTGTTCGCATTGAGTGCTTGGAATGCCCCAAATATCTCAAAATATCCCAATCCAAGTCTTAAATTTTTCGATGCAAGATGTCCGAACAGACAACTGTGTGACGACAGGATGGAGGATGTTGCGTATTCTCAAGCCATTATTATGTGTTTTTTAACCAAAAGAGGTGGTAAATGGCGTGTAGTCAGCGTAAAACGTCCGTCTGCTGGCAACGCTAAGGACTATGAACTGTTGCAAAAAACTATTGTTGATCTTATCTCGAAAACGGTTTGAAGTTGTAGCTTGTCATCAAATTAGTGTGATATTACGTATGCTCACAGGTTTGCACCAAATTTAGATTTGAACTATACTATTTTGCAAATCCTCTATTACAATTATGCACTCTTTTTGGAATAATACTATATCTTCTGAAATTATCAGCTGGCAAAGAATAGTGTAGCTTTTTATTTAAACGACATACTGTTGGAAACGAACGTTGCACCTTGTCTAAAGCTTAATTTTAGAATAGTGAGAGATTAGAGAATAGTGTAGACATTTGAGAATAGTGTAGACGTTTTTGTATGTGTGTCAGTGTGCGAATTTGACTTTACATTTCCAACAACCGCTGAATATTTGAATAAAAATTTGACTTTCTAATTCTACATTTCGCTAATTATTTAGTTATTGACATTGGTTATTGGGCATTCCTGGTAATGACTAAAGTTTCGTCGAAACGTACGTTTTTATAAGTTTCTAGAAATTCTATAGACAGTGAGCGGTCCCTCCTTACCGCGGGTTTAGACTGCTCGCAGTCTAGAAATTCTACTGTATATTGTCACAATTTCATGCCATTTTTGTTACTGTATTTACATTATAAGCTGAGTCGCATGCGAATTTGGTAAAATGGGACAATTTGGGATGATTTTCCTGCAAAACTGATAAAATTTACAGCTGGTAAAAGGTCCACGTCAAATCCAGACATTGATAAAATTCGAAGGATTGTAAAAAGACGGCAATAGCTAGATAGTATACTTCAAAATAAGGTTTCCGTTTTTATATCAATTTTTAAAATAAGTTAGGGTTAGGTTAGGTTAAGGCTAGGGTGAGGGATAGTATTAGGGTTAGGGTTTAGTTTTGAGTTAGGATAGTTTTTTCCACGTTATAAAAACGGAAACCTTATTTTGAAGTATACTATCTAGCGATCACCATTGTAAGACGCGTTTCCGCTGTAACTGTTCCGTATTGCCGTTTCTTCGTTAAATCCTCAGTCCGCGTTCTGTTCTCGACCCCTTAAATGCACGACGGAATTGTGGGAAAAATATAAGTATCACGTGTCTTTTAGCTTCGAGTTGTCTTGTCGAACTATCGAAGCGTGTTTGGGAATTGGGAAGTGCATTGGATATAATTCTTTGACTTTATTAATTTTTATTTGGCGTTCTTGTGACAAAATCAAAGCTCAACAACGATGTCTGGATTAGGAAACTTCAGTTTAAGTTCTCTGGGCTCTATGAGTACGCTTGGAACCTTAGCTCAGTCGGCACAACGACTTGATCGCCTCATGGCTGGGAATCGTTCACGACAACAGGAAGGCAACTACGGTCGCAATAATTCACGAAGATCTATGGATGATGACTTCTTTGGAGGAAGAAGTAGTGATCGCTCTCGAAGAAGATCGCCTTCGCCGCCTAGGGTAAATATTAGAGTAGATTTTATTTGGAAATTGTCCATTTAGAAATTTACAGTTTATAGACAGCTGAGCTAGAAAGATAGATAAAACCCACTGTTTCGGTTTATATATTTGTGTTTCTGCATGCCTTTGATATCCAAAACGTAGTCCAGAGAATTGTGTGAGATCTATATCAAAGCTTGCATATTTCCCTTATGACGTTGAGATTTTTTCTGCACATTTTCAAAAAAATCCTACAACTGTGTAGTTTTGATAAAATTAATGCATTTTAATATTTCCACTATTATGTACTGAGAGCAAGCTTCATGCAAGCCATTCTAAAATTTCAGCCTTCATTTCCACACTGCCAAAATTATACTTTACATTCTGGGGAATATCCTAGTACAGTTTATAACTATCATCAAAAGTAAATTTACTCTTTGAGGCAGTGGAAATTTCCTCTGTACAGGGAGTGTGGATCTTATTTCGAATGACCCAATCGACATTATTTAGTGGACCGGTGGTGCATGCTATGTAAATATGCCAGCTTGCAAGTTTTGAGTAAAGGCCCCTCGTACTCATAGAGGGAGGTTAGGAGCAGCTGTTCATATTTTTTAAGTAGTTGTATCTCCAACACACCGCTTCTGCTTGTGATCATTGCTACCTATACTGGCAAAGACTGTTTGAGACTATAGTTTTTCTTGAAAAATAGCAAGTTTAGCATCTAGGCAATAAAGATTAACCCATTTAGTTGCAGCACTTTCCACTTGATGAGTAAAATCATCTGGCGTTAGAGTAAAATAATAAAGTATGGTGCATTTGGGTGCAAATGTTGCCACTCAAATGGTTAAACTGGTTGCATGGGTAGCAGCGCACTCCCCCCTTTATAAGTAAGATTGTCTGGTGTTAGTAAAATATTAATAAAGTAGGATTCATCAGGGCACAATGCCACTAAAAGGGTTTTGCCAGTGTTTTTGTACAACGAGTCATAAATTTGATGTCGGACACTGTAATTAAGTTGGGCTGTTTATATTGTCCAGTTTATATGTACCCGGGATTCAATGAAGTGTGAAGTATTTTGAGTAATTGAATTAAGTTACACTTCATGATGTAACAAAATTGTTTGTGACAGATTGTATGAAATTCCATGTTTTAGACAAAAAAACAAATGTTGTTGAATGCTATTAATTGTCTTCTTCCACTACATAACTTCTAGAATGTTCCTAATTTCGTTTAACAATATCTACAGTTATCGAGCAATTAAAGAACGTATTTCAATTGCTCAAAATACTTACACTTCATTGAATCCTGGGTAAGCGGGACCATATAAACAGCCCCTAATTAAAATGGGTACATTGCATCTTGATGTGTTTCTAGACTTCATTTGCAAAGGCAAGGTCCCAATCATTGAAATTCATGGACTTGCCTGCTTGCTAGGATTGAAGTGTAAAGAGATGTACCTTCTAGGTATTAACGTCTTGGCAACTGGATCAAGTGTTGTGGTGGCTTTTCCATTTGGTGGTCTAGCCAATAATCGGATCAAAATAAGCCGCTGTTTTCAAAACAAATGAGATGAAAAACCAAATTTCTGGTCAGATTACTTAGAAGATCTCAACTCGTCCGAATTTTTTATGTAAACATCTGATCCTTGCTACCTTGTGGTATCATTGTCCATTCTTGTATTTTGCTACCAATTCATTATACTCTACATTCTTCAAAAATGTAGATCATATAAATTATTCTTTTTCTGTCCTATATTTCCGCCATTCTCTTCTCTTACTACAACTGAATAAGTAAAAACACGAATGTTTAAATCTAAGTTTTATCAAACCTTTACCCTTTCAAACCCTGTAATAGGAGAACTAAGACTCATCTTGCATTTCGAACTCTAAACTGATAGTTGTAGCTTCCCCCATTGAACATCTGTATTCCACAAGCTAAATCAATCAAGTTGGAACTCTCCCCATGCGGCGGAACAGTTTCCTCATTCAACATTTATTATTTGGTATTTCAGTGTGAGTTGGAAGTATATCAGTGAATAAAACAGTATTATAACAATTTGTCCTTTCAAAACTGCCAAGTTTTCTGACTTGCTAAATCTTCAGTTCATTTCTAGGAAATGGAAATTTCCAGTTTTACTGTATCAATTTGACTTTTCTGACATTATTTTCAGCATATTATGTATTGAGAATTGAAACATGTGTCAAGTGGGGCTAAAGTAATCAGCATCAAGTCAAGATAGTAGCTTGGCTTTGTTATTAGCCATCATCGTACTATATTGTTCAATGTCAGTGAATAAAATACATAAAATTCTTGATATTGTCTGAGGTGCAATAGCAATTGATACCCTCACACATCAGACACTTCTATTTATCATAATTTATGTAGTAGCTGTACATAGTGACAAAGCAATCATGCAGCCCAACCCTTGGGAACTCTGCAACCTTCGTTACCTGCTGGACGACTGATCTGCTATGGTCATTTGACCCTGTGGCACAACTTGCAAGTTATAAGAAGAATATTGTGGATGTTTGGAAATCCTATAATTTCAAGTTTTCATCATTTCAAAATTTCATTTACAGTATGCCACAAATCAGTGCCATGACTTTGTAAAAAATGAGGATCCACTAGTTTTCTTGTTTTTCCTCCAAATATGTCGCCGTCACCATGACAAGTTATCTTCCAATTTTAATCATGGAGTCATCCAATGATTTCCCTGAAAGGTCTCAAAACAAATATTTTGAAGATTGTGAAAATCACCTTGAGTGAAAATTTACTTTCAGCACATCGTTGGCAACTTATACATGTGATATGTTATCATGCTTTTCCCCTTCAACCCTTGCCAAGCTTTGAAAGGCTTGTGATCCTATTCCTCCCATGCTAGTGCATTTGCATGCTCATCTCTGTGTCATTGTGAAGTGTGCTTTTGCAGTGAGCATAACAAGTGGCAATGGTGTACAGTACCAGAATACAGACTAATAGAAAGCTTGGAAATTGCCAACTGTGATTGTGCTTATCCATAATTTGTTGCAGAAGTAGTCATTCTGTCCATGGCATGGACTTGATATCCGTCCATAATTTTTTGTCAGAAAACTGATCTTCAGCCATACCCATGACAAATTTATCTTAAGTTGTTTCTCATTTCCAACTCAATTCTCTGTACTATGACAGCGATTTAATCGTGATGACAGACACAGTGACGATCGCCGAGACAGAAGAAGGAGCCATGATGACAATATTTATGGATCAACAAGTGGTGCTGGAATCTTAGGTGCTGCCCCAAGTAGGAATGACAGGCCTTCAATGAATTCAGGTTTGCATGTTATATCAAGTAACAGTTGTAGAATTTATATGTAAGATGATTTTATGATGATACTGTAATGTATGTGCTCGTTTTGGTGGTTTCGCAGTGGTATTTCATATCTTACACTTTTACTTATAAACCTTCTTTCATCTTTCAAAGTCCTTCATTTCAATATTTTGCTTATCTCTGAAGGGTCATGAATCTGGAATCATTTGGATCACCTCTTTGTTTATCGGATAAAAATTATTTTATATATCCTGACAGTGTTTTTTGTTTATTTATGTTTTCCTAATGAATCTTTCCAGTTTATAATCATCTTTCACTTTATGTCAAAGCTACACCTTAAAGTTATCATCTAGAATCCACTTCTATCAACTTCTATCTAAATAGATTTCCACGCCCTTTGCTTTATGTGGTACTTTTAACTGAAGCCTATTTAATCTACAGTTCTATTAATTTTAATAATAGTGTAACAATATATCGATTATGTTACAATGCCATGTGGTAATTAAAATTAATCCTCATTCTTTCATGGTCTTCAGTCATGATGAATAAAACATCTCATTTCCTACTTTCATATAATCTTAGGTTTTTTGCCCAGTCTCTCACTGCTACCACTTTTTTGAGCTTAATTAAAATACTTCCTAGCTGTTTTCTCAAAAAAGTTTTTAGACTTCATTTTAGTTAGAACAATTTAGTTAAATACAAGAAGTGATTTTTAAAATTTGCATCATTTTGCAAAATCAGTATCATTTGTATAGCCCTGTAACTATAATTCTTATTCAAAAGGATGAATCTCTTTGCCAAAACAGCATGTGCTTTGTTTCAAAAGGTCTAGGTGATGTAGGTGGTCCATCATGGAATGATAGCAGTGCCAATCCTAATCTAAACCTCAACAACTCTCAGACCCAACAACTTCTGAACATGATGCAGACACAACAGCTCTTGGCTGCTGTTCAAGCTCAAGCAAAGCTAGCCAACCAGTCACCACCAAGTCTGATGGGTAATGCTGGATATTCTCGGCAAGGTGGAAGGCTGATGAACCAAAGAGGTGGTCGGTTCAATCGAAATGATCCACCACGTCAAGGAGCATATAACAGGAGAGATGATCGTAAACGAAGACGGTCCCCTCCACCCCGACCATTCAAGCGTGAACGAAGAGATGTCAATACAGCAAGGTTTCTAGATGTATTTGTATTGTTTGAATTTGATTTTGTATAAGTTCTGTTTGGACAGGACCTGAATGAGGTCAGACTGGGGTCATGTCTTTAGTTCTGAATTTCAAAACAGTGGCCAACACTTATGTTGCATAACTGCAGCAAGGTTAACAACATTGATTGTGATTTACATTTTCAGGCTTTCTTGCCATCCTACTTTTCCTACTTTTTCCTACTTTTCTTCAACTTTCTTACTTTTCCTATTTTTTATTAAAAATTGCTTGATTTTCCTACTTTTTCTCATATAATCCTACTTTTTTTAAGACAGCTTGGGGAATCAGTATGTTATACCTCTCGTAATTAGATCTATAGGACTCGTAATTTTTATTCCCTATATTTGTGCCCCAGATGATAAGATCTCAGGAGGAGAAGTACATTTTCCGAGTATATAATTTCATAGCATCTCTAGAATCATAATCAATAAATTAATGAAGACTCTGAAAGTGTCATTTCCGACGATCTAGAGATTCCAAATATTCAACTCCCCCCCCCCCCC